AGCAGGTGCAAGTGCTGCTGCTCATTGTCTAGAGTGTTGTCAGCCCCAAGGCCTAGTCTTTGTAAAACAGAACTCTTGCAATGACAAATTTGAACATGTGGGAAGTATCCCATTTACAGCATAAGGGCAAGGGCTCTGTGTCAGGCTCTATGCTTGGGTGTTTCTATGTAATAATACAGTTCTAATCTGCTCCAAGTGTTTCAGCATGCATTAACTTCTTAGTTGCATGTTACCAAACTTTAGGTAGATGTGAATACTATGCACAACATAATGCTAGAGAGTCCGGTTAAAAATTTGAATTAGCAAACATGTGAAGTTGAAAATTGCAATGGTGGTGCTATATTTAAAACCAAATAGGAGAGTTTGACCATGTAGTTCTTGGTTGATGGCAGTGGGAGTTGTGTGGTAAAGTTTCGTTTGACTTGAAAGATCTAACTTGTCGTTCTGATGCTACAAACTGCTTTCTCACACTGAACAGGGTTTTTTTTTTTTAAAAAAAAATTATTAGTATTATTGTTATTGGTTTTAAACTATAATTAAGTCACTGTTATTTGTGAAGGGTTTCTGGATAAACCATGTTGTGAGAGGTTTCTGGATAAATGGTGTTGTGAGAGGCAAGACGTGGGAGCTCCTCTGCACAGAGGCAATTTGACACAGTAGAACTTGCTAGGTTATTCAGTGTGTGAATTCGGCTATAGTATACTGACCTGTTCTGCTTCTGGTAGAAGCAGCAGTACTGTTGTTTCCTAAACAAAAACTGACCTAAAGATTTCTCATAGACCCCCAGCTGACACCACAGTAGTTTGGGCACAGTAATACATCAGTGGTCTGAGACCTCGCGAGTGTAATGCAAATATCTGAAAGCCTGTAACTGGTGGTCTGTTTATTTCTTATGATGGTTTTTATTAATCTGGACTCAACGCCAACCCTGTGGGACTCGAACTGACTTTACATAAAGCCACTGTAATGCCTTTACCTCGGACGCTATTCCGAGAGGTCTCACTAGCTCCAGCGCAAGGTCAGGTCTGAGCTGTCCCTGGGAATGTACTTGATCCTGTAACCCAGATCCCGGGTGAGGCATTCCACTGGGAAATGGCGGAAATGAGCAGACACTCTATTTTCATCACGTTTTCTGAGTAATCTGGCTCATCATTTTGGCAATGGAGAACTTACCATATTCTCATGCATTTCGAATTGGTCAACATGTAAAACGTTGCTCCAAGATAAACCTGCATGCAGGGAAGCTATGAGTACTTAGCTGACAGCTGTTCAAACGAGCTTTTGAATGTTTTGTCATAAAAGGACAATCTTCCATAGCTTTCACCAGAAAAGAGTTGTTCTTTTGGTTTTAGTCATCTGCTGTTCAAAAAGATATGTTTTTTCACTGCAGAGTTCCCTAGAAGTTTGTAAGTCGGTACTGAATCTTTTCCTGGTTTCTGTGCAATTTTGTTGTCCGGAAAGCGGCTTCGTGCCTGGCATGCAACAAACCAATTCCACACGCTCAGGAGAGATACTGTGTTTATTTAGGCCTGGGTGCTCGGTGGACTTTTCCACAAATCAAGAACATCAATACCAAGTTCCACTGTTCTTTTTATATACAAAAATCAGGGAATAGTATTTTTCCAGACATGCCTACTGAATACTGATTGGTTAGTAGTTTATATACAATTCGATACTCATTCATATAACTACACATGCTCAGGGGAAGGGTCCTTTTGACCTGTGGGTGTGACTTTTAGTATTATAATGAAGGCAGTTCACTTCAGGAGACCTTAAAAATTAGTTTCATTACCAGTTTGGCTAATCGGATAGTCACTTTGCCAGGTTGTCAAATAACTCATTCTTAACACAGTCAGTCCCGGATGTTCTCATAAATTTACAGGACTTACGTACCCTAACTCCCTTCATGAATCCTTTATTGTTAATCAAGGTCATCTTGACCAAGGTTCAAAGCAAGGTAGGTTCAAAGCCTTGTAATTAGCACAGTAGGTTCAAAGCCTTGTAATTATCCTCATATGTGCAGTAACTATGGTTACCAATACCAGATGTGAAATACATTATATCAATTTGTCTGGTATCATTTTGTGTTTCTCAGTTGACTTTAAAGAATTGTATTGAGGAATGCAAGTTCCCTCCAGAAGCAGATGCAATTTGTCGATACCAGCAATGCCATGGCCACTCCAAAATCCAAATATTTTTTACAGACCCAGACTTTAAGGTAAACTTTTAGTTTAAAAGGGTTTGGGGAATAAAACTTCCTGTTGACATGTTTTCTGCCTCCTTTCATATTAAAGAGCTATCTGGAACATACCATCATATCCCATCTACTGTTAAGTTGTGCCCTATTTTCTGTTGTGTTTGTTTGGGTTTTTTTTAAAAGATGTTTAATACTTTTTCTCAATGTTAGGGTTTTATACGTATTACTTGCTGTCAGCAATGTAGAGTGGAGTTTCATATCAGCTGTTGGAAAAAGTTGAAAATGGCAAACTACAGTGATAAAAATGATAAGGTAAGAGCTGTGTTCAGACTATAAGCATTTTATTTTTTTCTGGTTTTTAGTCAATTTAGTCTTTTTTTTTAGCATTCCTTTGGTCTGTGATAAGTGCAATGCTACAGCCTGATGTTCCACCTGTGTGACAATGGCAGGAGAAGAGATAGGAAAGAGGAATCTCTTGCTAAATTCTCTGACATGCAAGCGGTGGTAAAGCTTGCTTTGACTGCAGAAGAAAGTCCTGTCTGTGTAAAGGCTTAGTATGCTTAGCCTGTTTCTCTTGCATCATTTATGTTCTCCCATATGGAAATTTTATTCCTTCTACAGTCTTGCTGTTGAAGCAGTAGCTTGACATTGAGTATGTCCAGAGGAATTTTACAAAATACAATATCAGCAGCCAGTATAAAATGAAGGGAAATCCAGGCCGCATATGAACTCATAAAAGAATATTCTTAAAGCTGACTCTTGAATGTGAAGTTGGAGGAGGAGGGGCTTTGCTATAACTTTGGGAATAACAGGTATATACCACAGATCTAGGAACCTTTTGGTTTGCGGTCCTTGCCAAGTCAGCTGTCACTTGCTTTCCTCATCCAGTAAGAGTTTGGGACTCTGCTAGCTTTAATGACCTTGATCACCTCAAATTAAGAAACTGTAATCTGCATAAGAACATAGATTTTTGTATGAATTTAAGTGTCTTTGTCGTGTGTATCAATTTCTCCTACAGGATTTTCTTCAAGAATTGTGTTTCACTCCTGATTGTACAGGCCTTATTTCAAAAATAGTCATTTTCAGTTCTTCTGGTCTGGTAAAATGTGAAGTAAGTATATGATTATATAAAATAAGAAAATAATCTTTAAAATATTTACTCTGGTAAAGGGGATAAAGTGAAGATGAGAATGTAACTGCGAACTCATAAGTAGTATGCTATCTTAACTACAGAATCTGAGCATTATTTAGGAATATTAATTACCTCTTCTCTTCTTATCTGTTCTTCTGGTGGAGCAGGCATTACCTTATGGTATTGGTCAGAATTGTCATGAATGGGAACTGGAGTTTCGTTTTATATTTAGTTTGTGCGACATGAAAGGAACTCTGTTAATTTAACTCAGAGCTAATCTGTCTAAATGAAGTAATTGTGTTGGAAGAGTGCTCTTACCCTGTACAGAGTCACAGGAAGGTAGATACTTCTTCCCAGAGCAGTATTGATCTGAGAAGCGAAAAAAAAAAATTATAAAGTTTACTTTCTGTGCACTGGTAAAGCAAAACAGCCTCCAGTTCTTCTTGACTATGTTATCTTTTAGCTTGTCTTTTCTGCAGACAAAGATGTATTGCTATATACCAAGTTGCAGCAGTAGAAGATAATTTTAGGTAGACCTTCATGAGGCTTACGTAGGCTGCATTATCTCTTTCATAGTATTACTTTTACTGCTTTCCAAAGCATCAAATGTTCCTGGGTTTTGAGTACAGTAATGTCGCATTGTAACCCAAATTTAATTAATATGATGTCACTTATTTTGGTAGTTTGAACAAAAAATCACAAAAACCAAGGAACCACCAAGAGCCAGTATTAAACAGAAATGTTCAAGGTAAGCTCTTTTGCTATTTAAAACTAAGTTGAATCAATTTGAACACAAAACAGTTTTCTCTAGGATTGGCTTTCGTGCCTTTTTGAGAATTGCTAAAATACCACAAATACTTTGGAAAGCTATTCTTCCCCTTTGCCTCTGAGAAACTGAAAAGTCTGGTGAAATACATTATGATCCAATTATAAAGGCATTTAAATTAACTTGTAAATGAAGATACAGAGCTACAGATTTGTAACATGAGCACAGGAGGGCATTAACTGGTATTGCTGAACAAATTATTGGTAGCTCTCTAGTGGTCATACAGTTCTTTAAAAACAACATTTTTGGTTTGGTCACAGGAAACTGTTTTCAAATATACAGGTTATGAGTTCATGCAAATTTGATTTCCCACACCTCTGTATTGAGGGATAAGTTGTCCATTGCACCATTGACTTCCCGTCAATTTGAACCAATAGTTTTTGAATATAAACTGCTGCAGTCATTTTTAAGTCTTTATACCTGAAACCTAATTTCATTGTGAAGTCTGTGGGTAGGGAAGTAACCTGTTGTTAGGGACAGTGTGATTTGGAGGCGGTGCGCAGAACTTGAGGGCTGTTTCTTTACTTTTGCTCTCCATACATGCCTTTCATTTGTCCTAAGATACTTAACAACTGAAATACTAAAAGAATGGATGTCTATTTTTCTTCTTAATGGGTTGAGTGTTTTAATGACACTCGACTTTCACAGCATGTGTATCTAGATTAGAATACCACCTCTCTTTTCAGTCTGAGATTGCAAGCGGTGTTCTATTCCTTCCCCTTGCTAGAGGGAAGAAACTCGGCAAGATTTTTAGCTGGATGGGAGAGGTATCGCTGTGTGGCATAAGTTCAACACCACTGTTCCACAGAATTTGCTATCTAACCAACTTTGTGTGAATGTGTAGAAAGTGTAAATAAAAACTGTGTGTAATGATGCTACTTCAGTTGATGCATGTACCTTTGACATAACTGAGTTTACACTTTTTGGTCAAGTAAGGTTATAAATAATGAGGAATCATGCTGAGAGGATAAACAAAATTTAGTTTGAAAAGTTAAGGAAATCAAAGGTTAATGTTTGGTTCAAAATGCTGAGTTATAAATTCAGGAAAAACCTTGATAGTATTTAAGTTAATCCTAATTCAGACATCTTCAATGGGAGTAAAAACTGTTGCATCTTGAGGATATTCTTACACTTACATACTTGGTCTTTACGAAACTTTTATGAAATGTTGTGGTCTTTTCTAAATGAAAACTAGCTTTTGTACTTTTCAGCATAGTATTTTATAGTAGAATGGAGCTTATAGCTATTGTAAGACATGAAAAATAACTGAGATGTGCCTAGCTCCTTTGGCAGCTTATCTCAACTGATGTTAGGCTCACCGCTTAATTGCTTTTTTCAGTCTTAGGAAGTTAAAAATGAAACAAGAAAAAAAATTACGAAGAAAACGTGCACGAGAAGAGGCACAGAATTCTGCTAAAAAGAAAATAGAAGAGAACCAGACGGGAAACGAACCATCTCAATACAGTGTTCAGAGTGGTATGTGGAAGTATAGATTATTGTTCTATGTTATCACCAGGTAGCATAATTAGCATTCTGAATGTCCTAATTCAAATTGTAGCAGAATACTAATATTGAATGTAATCCCCCTCTTAAAGATCTGCATTTCTGTCACTGTTTTGAGGCTGGGCCGGCACTTAAAGCAGCTGGCAGATGCTCTCTATTAACTTTCTATTCCAATCCCAGAAGGGGATGGAAAGGAGAAAAGAGAGACTTACAGGTTGGAAAATTAAAA